CAGGTATATGCTGAAACCTTGAACAGATGAAAACAAAGCAGCTGAGACACACAAGCAACATGAAATGTGTCATAAGCATGTTAAGGCCATATGAGAGCCCTGCTGGGAGCCTTGGGAAAACCCCCATGCTGTGCTGTTCCTGGGACAGAAACTTAGAGGAGACACCTGAGCAGCCCTCAGACACAGCGAGCCACTCTGTGATGGAAGTGCAGATTTGCCTCCAGGCCTTTTTTGGAAGCCTACTTTGATCCACCAGAGGATCAAACAGGCTGTTTCCTCAATAAAGGCTGAACACAAGAGCTGTGACAGTGTGAACTCCAGACAAAGCACTTTCCAACCACAACAGATCCCATCTGTTTGCAACACACCCGCGGAGTGCCCAAAGAAACTTGATGCTGATGGGAACCAAAGGCAGAAGATGTTGGCAGGTGAGGAGGGTAATCAGCCCATCAGGCCCCTGCAGGGAAGCATTAGGGCAGTCACAGGCAGGCCAGGTCCCTGGGCATGTCTGGCCAGGAGAATTCTGGCCCTGAAGCTCCCAGCAGGGGCACCGGGAGGAAGAAGCTCAAAAAACCTCCCCATGTGCAGTGACTTAAGCCAATCTGTCTGAGACAGCTCCTCGCAGCCCACGGGAAGCCTCTCCAGCACTGGTTACCTGTGTCACCCAGGGCACGTTCATCGGCCCGGACGGCCACTGGGTCCCTCCAGGTGTTGGTGATCTTCACAATGCAGCTTTTACTGAAACCCTGAACGACAGTGCCCATGTCCAGGATGTACTCGGGCAGCTCAACTCTGGAAGGAGGAGTAAGGACGGTCCTTAAACAACAGCGTGGCTACATGTTTAAGCAGCTCCAAAGCTCAACGCGGCGCTGGGGAAGGGAGGACAGTCAGCTGCTCACGAGCTATTGCTGCCACAGCTACTGGGATCAGACCCTTTCTGAAGTGCCCACTGTTCCCAGCTCTGCATGTACAAGGAGCTCTCAGGAGCAGGGGACACTGCTGGGTGTTGCCCTCAGGGCACCTGCAGAGAGGGAACAGGAGTAGGGACTCACTGGACAAGCTTCTGAGGAACGTGCTTGTCAAAGACAGTTTCCTCTGGGGGGCGGGAGATGAGGGTTGGTTGCAGCCGCAGAGCATTTTCCTTTATCAGAATCCACTCCATCTCCATCCTCAGCCAAGTGTTTGCCTGAGGGAAGGGAAGGCAGTGGCTGGTTAGCAAAGACCCTTCCCAAGGCCCAGGCTTGTATGTGAAAGAGGATCCCACCCTGCTCTTGTTGAGAGGGTGAATGGGGGTCCTCCTGTCTGGCTGCTCAGTGTCCGTGACACATTCTGCTCTCTTAGCCAGGACCTTCTCTCCAGGGAAATAACTGCAGCATCTGTGCCTTCCCACCTACTGCTAGAAAAGCTGATCTGGCCAGACAGACAAGCCAGCAGCCTTC